AGGAGACCAGGCTGACATCCCAGTGTGGTGGTTGGACCCTGACTCAGGTGCGAATCCCATCTGGCCACCTGCTCTCACCGTGGTCCTGGAGGCAGGAATCACCACCTCGTCCTCAGTGGCCAGCAGCACAGACAGCAGGCTGAGCCCCGAGGCCAGCAGGAGCAGTTGCATGGTCCCTGCTGCTGCTCTGTACCCCAGCCTGATTGCCTGGCCGCCGTTTATGGGGCCCTGGGTGGCGCTGGAGCAGGGGCCCCCCAGGACTCACTCAGTCCATGTTGCCAGCAGCATTGTTTGGTTTGGAAGGAAGTGAATGAGGGTGCTAATTTGTGTAATTAGCCAGCCTGGTGGCTTTGGCCCCACTCTGAGGCCACCTTGTCCTAAGAGGATGTTATCACAGTGGCAGTGCCACCTTGAAGCTGGAGCCAGGAGGGTGAGGGCAGGGATAGGGGCAGGGGGTGGAGATGCAACCCACAACCTGTGCTTCCGCCCCCATTCCACTGGCACCCTCGCCCATTGTGGTCCCTTGCATCCAGAGAGTGCCACACCTCCTCGAGTCCCATTCATCCCAGCCTCGGGCTGCATGCGTAGCTTCAGCCCTGCTCGGACCCCTCCCCGGTGCCCACTGTGCAACCTGGCCCTGGGCCTCAGCCAAGTCACCGTCCCTCTGCCAGCACCTGGCTCCTGTGCCCGTCCTCATACCCGAGTCCCTGTCAGGACACTGGAGACTTCACTGGCACTCTGTACCTTGCCTGTCCCCAGAGGCCTGCTTGGTCCCTCGAGCATCCCCAAGTGCGCCCCCTCCCAGGCTGCCCCAATTCCAGCCACAGGCGGGCCAGGGAGACTGGAACTGGGAGAAGTGGACGCCAGGCCTGCTCTGCCTTACCCCACTCACCATCCCTCAGCGAACAGCACCCTGCTTCTGGGCATGCGGGCACGTGCATATTGTGTGCATGTGTGCTCACGTGTGTCTGTGCCTCTGTACATCTGGTGCAGGCTTGCGTTTCTGCTGGTGTATCTGTGTGCATGTGGTTGCCTGTGTGTACATTTGTTTTGTTTTTGTCTTTTTGAGACAGGGTCTCACTGTGCAGTTCAGGCTGCCTTGGGCTCACTTTGTAGCTCAGCCTCCCAAGTGCTGGGGTTGCAGGAGGATGGACCTCCATGCTCGACCTGTGTGTACATTTGTGTACAGGCAGTATACATGCCTGAGTATGGGCATACTTGTGGATCTCTACACTTATGTGTAGGTATTTGTGTGCACGTGTCTTTATGTGTCTGTGTGTTCCTGTGTCCACGTGTGCAGTGTGTGTGTATGAGTGTGCACGTGTGTGCCTGCACATGTTGGGTATGTGGTGTGTTTGCATGTGTATGTACATAGGTCTCTGTGTGTGTCTGTGTATTTTATGTCTGCACGTGTGTGCTTATCTCTCTGCACATGCACATGTGTATTCACAGTTATGTGTGTCTGTGTGTGCCTTAATGCACATGTATCTCTGTGTGTGTGCACACATGTACACGTCTGTGGGCCCCCGTGGTATCTTCCCCTCACAGCACCCCCCTGCTGTGAGGTTCTTGCTTGGAGGCCCCCATCCCCACCCCTCTCTCCTGCCCTCTGACCCAGTATTCCCAGCCCGGTGACCAGTCAGGGACCCTTTCCCTGGGAGGTCACCTGGAAGCCCCCGGTGGCACAGCAGAGCCTAGATGTCCCCAAACCACGTGTCTCCCCTCGTCCCCACTGGCCTATGTGACAGGGCTGAGCTGCCACAGGAGGTGCCTGTGGCATGGCACATTTACAAGGCCACCCCCCAACAGATGGAGCCAGAAGCTTCCACACCCTGCAGCTCTGTTCACGGAACATGGAGGGGCAGAGCCGGGACCCAGCCAGGCTGGTGTTTGGGAAGTGCGAAGGCAGCCCTGCTCAGGGAAGGGCGTGGGAGCCAGAGCTGTGCTGTGTGCTCCATGTGGTGGTGATCGGGTCACCGTGTGTTAACATTCACAGAACTGGTCAGGCGTGGTGGTGCCCACCTGCAACACCAGCACTCGAGGAGGCTGATGCAAGAGGATGGCAACTTTTAGCCCAGCCTGCATGACTCAGCAAAATAAAAAATTCTGTCCGGCCTGGTCCAGGATGAACCTGGGTCAGAGACAGGGTGGCCGCTGTGGGCCCCCTACTCTAGCAGCGCCAGCTGTGAGACCAGTTACAGCCTGTCCCCAGTCACAGGTGCCCTGGACTGGGCTCTCCACTGTGCCAGCCCACGAGCCACCCAGGATGGGCCCCTGCTTCGGTGGACAGAATCGAAACTGTCTTTGATTTCGCCCCTTCTCTCTGCACGAGGCCATCTTCCTCCGGGGGGAACATGGAGAACTCCTCATCTGTTTCATGTTATCCCTGATAGTGACAAGGTGCTCACCTGGGGCAGGGCATAGGTGGTATCGTCCCCTCTTTGCTCCATTACAGCTGGGGACCTTGTGTGCCTGTCCCTGTCACCTGGGGACAAATCAGGGAGTGGACCCAGGCTCTGCTGGCATGCAAGCCTTCTTGTCACAAATCCCAGGCATGTGGCCCCCAAGAGCACTGGGGACGTCAGGATTCAAGGCTCCCTGGGTCCTCCACCTCCTGGCCTAGGTCTGGCCACCTGCAGTGCCACGGACCTCCAGGCACAGGAGCACTGGGCTCAGGGCTGGGGGACAGACTGGCCATCAGCCCACTGGACAGCAGCCAGGCCAGTAGAGTGTGGCAGGTGATGGAAGAGATGATGCAGGTCATCACCCCAGCACTGGCCTCTCCCAAAACTGCTTCTGTTTTAAATCTTTTTTTTTTTTTTTTTTTTTTTGATATTTAGTAATTGTCACGGCAAATGTCACCTCAAAGACACAGTTAGGAACCTGAGCCGTCAGAGTGGGGCCTGAGCAGTGTCGGGGCTGAGGGCCGAGTGGTTGGATGCCCTCAGGTCTGGCCTTTAGGGCCACACTGTGTCCAAAGCGCTCCTTAAGAACCCCCCCCCCCGGGCCTGACGTCCTGCCCTGCAGCTGGAGGACATGCTCAGGAATTTGACCCAGGCTGGCGCCATTCCCGGGGACCGGCCGTAGCCGCTCCATGCGTGGGGATCACGTGACCTGAGGGACTGAGCCCCGCCGTCCCCGCAGTGTGAAATCACTCAGGGACAATGACAGTTTCCTAGCATGTTTATTTCTGTAATGTGAGTCCAAAATGTTAGACAACTCCAGGGATCACACTGGAGCTCAAACAAACCCCGCTATACCCTCAGCCGCGGCAGCCGCCACTGCGCATGCGCACCCAGTCCCCACAGCAGCCAGTGAAGTTCTTGCGCCCTGAGCCTTGCTCAAAGGATGAGGAACTAGAGGTACAGCTATGTACCCAGCGCTGTCCTTGGCTAAGCCCAGGGGACACAGCAGGCGCTGTCCCCAGGCTGGGTTCAGCATCTGCTGCAGCCCTGGCGGACAGCAGTGATACGGACCCCCCCTGGCGTGTTACCTCTGGGTCCTATGCTTTGTTTTGCAAATATATTTTGAAAATCCGCTTGGGAACCAGGACAGGCTAATGACCCTTCATCCCCCTGTGGAGCCTTGCTTTGCAGGCACTAGGGAGACCCCTGGCCCCCAGCAGCTGCTGCCCGTGCTGGGTCTGATGAAGCTTTCCTGACCTTTACCTAACAGCTTGCCTAGGCTCTGTGTGCTCTGGGCAGCTCTCTGAGGACCCCGATGCTGAAAGTGGCCAGAACTGACGAAGGGACAGGCTGGGATGCGGAATGAAGAGTGGCAAGAAGCAAGTGGTACTAGCCTGGTGACCCTGCGGAGGCTCGAGGCAGGGACTGATGAGAGGGCTCGGCTGTTCCACCGCTACCTGGACTCGGGACTGAGAGTCAGGGGCCCCAGAGGTGCCAGGCCTGGTCCTGTCCCCGAGCCACGCATGGCAGGTGGCCAGGACACCCACTGACCTACAGACAGGTTGGGATTTAGAAGCAGAGGCGCTGTCCCCCACAGGAGGTGATGGGTATACAGGGTGCTGGCCCAGGGATACCTGAGACAGCACTGCCCATGGGCATTACCAGCCCTCAGTGCCCACTGGTGATTTCTGTACCTACCATTTCACATTTTCTGCAGCTAAATCTCGGTCTTTTTTTGCTTCCTTTTCAGCCTCTGTCTTTCCAGCTGAGGCTGTTTCTGCCTGTGGTCGGTGACCTGTTCTTGGCTCTCTTCTGACGAGCCTCCCCTGCATTGCCCTGGTACCAGAGCATGGGAGGGGTAGCAAGTCCACCACACTGTGGGACCAGACCTGCCCCGCCCACCTCCCTGTCCAGGCTGCCTAGGCTCACCTGGCACCTGCTGGCCCCAATTCAGGACCACCCAGCTACCTCACCAGAACCAGGTCTGGGCAGGACAGGACAGAGGGTGGGATTGAGGGCCAGGGTCCCTGAGCTGTTGGTCACTTGGCCAATCAATCATGGCCCTCAGGGAAGATGGATACTTGAGGCTCACCTGAGACCCCAGGTCCCTTTGGGATGTGTGGTTGAGGGCCGTCTTATCACCAGCACAAGACCTCTCCCTTCGCTGTGGCCCTGTAGGCTGAGTCAGTGCAGATCCCATCCCTGGACAAACCATGGAAGGGAGTGGGAGTGAGCGAGGCCCTGCTCTGTCTGCTGGAGGGGTGGTGATGGCTGCTTAGAGGGCCCTCATGGGTCCCTATGTCCCTCTTGGGGCAGGAGCTCTGCCAGAGACCTGCACACCGTCTGTACCCGCGATGCAGGGGCCCCTATCCTGCCTTCCCCGTGGCTTCCCAGATGCTCCTGCCCGGGACCCAGCCTTGTCCAAACTTCCTGGAGCAGAGGCACATCAGGTGGACTCCAGGTCATCAGTATCCCCAAGGGGCCATCGGATGCTGGGCCCCTGGAGTCCAAGGTCTCCCATTCTCCCCATGCCTCACCCTCCTAATAGAGCCCCTGGGAGCCCCAAGCGGCGTCACAGACAGGCTGAGCCACAGATGCTGCTGAAGTCCTTTATTTGGTGTGGGGTGGGGTCAAAGGCGGGGTGGAAACTGCCATAGCAGTGGGGTTGGGTTTGGGTTTGGAGGCACAGTCTGGTACGAGACCCAGTCTGACAGGGAAGGAGAACTCGGGGGATGCAGATCCAGGTGGCTGCTGTATGGGAAGAGGAGCCCAGGTCAGGGGCCGCAGGCAGGAACTTTGGGTACTTGGCTGCTGGGCCAGCGCACTTCCTTCCGGGTGTTGGGGACCCGCCCCCCCCATGGCCATGTCTCTGGGCATGTTGGGTGGTGTAGGAGGATTGGACCTTGGTACCGGGAGTGGGGATAAAGGAGCCAATGGCAAGAAAGAACTTCCTGTGTGTCCTGGGCTTACACCCAGGCTCCTCTGAAGTGGCACCATTGCCTGGCCCAGGATCAGCCCAGAATTTGGACCTCAAAATTCAGAACTGGGCCCTGGACTTCCCAGTGTGCTCATAGGGTCACTCACCCTAGTCACGCTCAGAGACGCAGCTTTCTGTGGAAATCAGGGAAACGGGGATGAGAGGGGCCTGGACCAGCACCCTGACCCTGTCACACCCAGCCCAGACCCTCTGTGAGTAAGACCCAAGGGCTCCTTTGTCCCTGTGTGGACACAGTGACTTGAGGGGCACAGACAGATATGACAGACATGGGAGATGATTGGGGACGTGGAGGGACCCAGGAGAGAATGCACTCAGAGACAGCTGCTCACCCCTCTGCTTGGGGATGATGATTTTCTCTTGTAGAAGTCCCTTGCGCTGCACGAATTTCCTGAATTCCTCCAGCGCCTCAGGGTTTTCCTCAGGAGTCCTCCCTGCAGAATGGGGGCCAGGTGAGGTGGGAGAGGGACCTGAGAGGGAGCCGGGTGCTCTGAGGGGGACAGGCAGGGAGGAGCTGTTGGGTGCCTGGGGCCCTGAGCTGCTGCCATGTGACTTAGGGGACGGGGTGGCTCCCGAGCTGCGCTGCAGGGTCATACACTGGTCTGGAAGGGCATCATGACCTGGAGGCGATGGGCTGTCCCCTGACTCTGGAAGAGCCCTGTACCCTGAGGCTTCTAAGGCCACTACCTTCCAGCCAGCCTGTCCTGACCTCTGAGACCCCAGGAAGGAGCACTCACCAGTGTCCATGGCTGTAGCACCCTCCTGAGCGGCCAGGCTCTGAGGGTTGTGTCCACCCCATCCCTGACCATCCCTGCCCTGCGACCCCTTCCCAGTTGGAGCTGGCACTCTGCCGGCAGCACACTGTATCTGGACTCCAGAGGGCGGCTCAGGAAACATCTGAGTCCCCTGGGCCAGGACATGGCTTCTCCGAGCCGAGATGGCAGGCAGGGGTTTGGGTCCTCGCCCTCACCCATGAGCTTCCCTACACCGAATGTCCTCTTTGGGCCCAGCTTCTCGCAGTAGAAGATGTAGTGGTCCTGCACAGGTAGCTCCTCCACAGAGATGAGCTTCTTGCCCTCAACTGCAGGCAAGAGAGGAAACTTCAGCACATTCCGTCTGAGGAGACGTTGGAGACCACAGTGGGGAATCATTGGGACACATCTAGCATCACCCAGGACCCTGCCAGGCCCTGCTGTGTCCCTATCACTAGGCAGGAGCCCTCCCTTCCCCCAAAGGAGCCAACCCAGCTGTGGATTCCCGATGTGAAGCCAGGGGCATTGAGGCTGGAGCTTGGCCCTGGCCCCAAGGAGCTGCCCTGCCTGCTTCCCGGTCCCCAGCCCTCAGTGTCCCCATGGGTCAACAGGGCCATCCAGAGGGAGTCACGGCCTGGTCACTCCCGGCCCTGGACAGGGCTGTGACATTGGCATCTGGTGTCAGGGACACAGGACTCCCGGGAAGCAGAGGCCGCCGCTCCCAGGAGGGTCACGCAGGACTCACAGGCGCTGTATTTGCCGGGCTCCTCGGTTTTCAGCATCAGAATCTCCTTTGTGTGGCACTGACCCTTAATCCTGAAATCAGGAGGCACAGGGACAGCGGCTCTCAGGTCTCCCCCAGCCGGCTTGGCTTTCGCGGGCATCAGCCAGACCGGGTGATCTCAAAAACCCCACTCCACCCTGCCCCAGCTGTGGGATAATGCATGGGACTGTCTCCTCAGACTCAGGGGACTTTTGTCACCAACATCCAGACAGTGGCAGAGAGAGGAGAACAGGAGACTGAGCGTCCGCACTGGGCTGCACTCACATCAAGGTGGTCCTGGCCTCCAGGTTCCCGCCTTCACGTGCTGTCACCGTCAAGGGGAACGCCACCTTGAACATCTTCCCTTCCAGCAGGGTCATGTTGCTCACTATGGCCTTCGTGTACCAGGTCCCTGTGAGCTGGAGCAGCCGAACGTGAGCCCCGTGCAGCCCGGGCTGCACCCCGCAAGCCAGCTGGACTGCTCCCCACTCCAGGCCTGGCCCAGGAGGGGTCATGTCTGCCAAACCCCCAATTTCTGACCACTCCAAGCTAGGAGTGCAGGGTCAGATCTTGGCCTTACACAGACCACCCCCCAGAAACAGCCCCAGTCACCACCCCCGCCTAGCCTCACATCTGGTTCCTCTGGCTGGAGGGACAGCGGGTCCTGGGCCTGCAGGGCAGCCACCAGGCCTAGCAGCACAACGGTCAGAAGCAGGGTCTTCATGTCCAGCACTGTGCTCGTGGCTGCAGAGGTCTCCTGGAATCTGGATGAGGCTGTGTCAGCTCCTCTCAGGGCACCCTTTATGTCCCCGATGACCAGGGTTGGTGCCCACTTGGCACTGACCACACCCCTCCCACCATCCCTCCCGCCAAGTCCCCATCCATCATGGAGTGGTGTTGTTATTGTTGGGATCCGATGAATAACAAGCTACTGCCGCTGGAGACAAAGACCACAGTGCTGGCCAGCATCTGCCCATCTGGGGTCCTGCCCACAGCCCAGCCTGCCTGGATGGGCTGAGCCGTTGGTGCCCTGGCTGGGGCTCAGGTCTGCACTGGTTGCTGTTTCTGTTTGTCACCTCCTCAGCTGTGCCCCCACATCCACACCGTTCTCCCCAAGGCAGAGTCTTCTCTTCAGAGCCTTCCCATGAGGGGGTCCTGTCCTGTTTTCCTCTCCAAGTTCCCCAAGAGCCAGACACCAACTCCCGAGGTCCACAGCTTCATCCCTGCTGCAGGAAGTGTGCTGGCCAGTGTCAGGGGTCAAGAATATTTATCCTGAGACGGAGCAGCCAGGTGACCTACCTCTGAGTGCAGTTGTCCGTTTCTGACAGAGGACGTGCAGCCCTGCTGCTGGTCATCTGGGGCCTGCTGGGGACACATGGATCCTGGTACTGTTGGGGCTCCTCAGACACTGGTCCCTTCCTTCCCACCCAGGCTGGGATCCAGGACCAGGGACCACCACAGCCTGTGCTGAACCCACCCCTGTGCCACTCCCCTAACGTCAACCCGTGGGGCCAAATCCTTTCCCTGCCCTCGTCAGCTTTGACCCCACGGGGCCTCAAGACAGGCTGAGGCTCACTGCCTGGGTAAACAGACTGAGGGCTCAAGGCAGCCACCTGCCTGTGGCCAGGTTCCCTGGTTGCCCCTCTCTTACCCTCAGCCCTGCTGCCACCCAAGCAAGACCTCTGCTTCCCCCTGCAGAGCCCACAGGTGCTGGGCCTGAGACCCAGCTGACACAGCTCAGGGTGCAGGTGCTGGGCTCCCGGGAGCACCCTGTGCTCTGTGCCGAGTTGGGCCAGCCCCGGGCACTGCCTGGACGGTGCTAATGAGCTCATGCTCTCGGAGGCCCTGGTGTCCTAGGGTGACGCAGGACCCAGTGCTGTTGGGGGCTGAAGGGGCTCGGAGCAAGAAGCTGCCATCCTGGGCTGGGAAGGGTCAGGGCCAGAGAGCAGGCTAAGTCACCGTGTTGTGGGCTTTCTGCTCTGCTCCTACCGACTGGACCCAGACACCCTGGGCTCCGCTCACCATGTGGGCCCCATGGAAATGTGTGCCCACAGCCTCAGCACACAGAAACCATCCTTCAGAGATGGGGAGCAACATGCAGAGATGAACGACAGATGGCACAGGGCACCTCCATGAGTGTTGTGCTGTGCCCAGGAGCCCTGTGGGTGCCCACTGCCCACTTGTCCTGTCCGGGTCCCAGCAGCTGAGTCTACCGTGTCCCCCACTGCTCTTCTCTTGTGCACAGGTGAAATCCTGCTGACGGTGGACACCATCTGTCATGGGCAGCAGGTGGACAGAGGGCAGGTTCTGCACAGTGTAGCTGCTGTCAGGAGACAGCGGAGAGGAGGACTGTGCCCACTCAGCAGAACACCTTCCTCTCCAGTGGGGTCCTCACAAGACACCCCTACTCACAGCTGCACTAAACTCCTGGAACACCCTCACCATCCTTGCTTTGAAACTCAGGGTGGTCCAGTTTACCAGTGCCTCAATTTAGAGCTGAGGGGTCCAGGTAGGTGGTGGGAAGTCCTTGTAGGAGTTGATGGTGATCCTCACCCACCTGCAGCTGCCATAGACCATCCTCACCCCTGACCCTTGTCCCACCCAAGTTGCCTGAATCCTCTCTTCTGTGTTCCCTGTCCCATGCAGGTGAAACGCAGATGCAGGTGAATTAATGGTGCTTGCCAGGGCGGACAGTGACTAAGCAGCTCAGGCTCTTCCTGGTGAGGCAATCTTAAGTCTTCGGTCAGCTCCTCAGGAGCCCCAAGTCCCCTTTTTCACAATGCTGGCTTTCTTGTGAACATGAATTTTGTTGAACTTTGTGCCTTCCAAATTTCATTGCATCTCTGACTTCTGGTCTCCAGAAGTATGAGAGAATATATTTATGTGAATTCTGTGTTTTGTTTTGGTTTTGTGCTGGGGATTAAACTCAGGACTTTGTACACGAGAGGCAAGCACTCTACCACTGAGCTACACCCCCACCCCTAAGTCTGTGGCTTTTAAGTCATCAGATTTGTGGTATTATTATAGTAATCTTGAGAAGCAATATAATATCTTACATATTAAGACATATTAAATGTAAATGGTCTAAATATACCAATTAGAAGTCAGTGGTTGGCAGAATGGACTAAAAATCATGATATAACTATAAGCTGTGTCCAAGAAAAGGTATATTCTGGGAATGGAAAGCTAGTTTAGTATTTTAAAAAGCAACCATATTGACAAAAGGGGGGCAAATCACATGATCACATTGAACAATTCAGAAAAGGCATCTGATAAAATTCAACATCAATTCAGAATAACAACTCTTAGAAAAGAAAGAACAAAAGTATCCATGGCTAACATTCTGAGCGCTCTCTCTCTCTCTCTCTCATACACACACACACACACACACACACACACATACACACATACACACACACACACACACACACACACACACACACACACACTAGGACTAGGCAAGGATGCCCACCATCACCACATGTATTTAACATAGTGCAGGGCTGGGGATTTAGCTCAGCAGTATAAGCACTTGCCTGGCAAGCATGAGGTCATGAGTTTGATCCCTGGTACAAAAAAAAAAGTGCAGAAAATTCTGGCTACAGTAGGAAGGGTAAAGGAGGAGGGAAGAAAAAGAAAGAAAACAAAAATACAAATTAGAAAGTAGTAAAGCTGTCTCTTTTTCCAGCTTACATTTTTGTCTATGTAAAAATATCTCAGGAAGGGGGTGGAGATATAGTTCTGTGGTGTGGTGCCTGCCTGGCAAGCATAAGATCCTCAGTTCAGTTCCCAGTACCCACAAAAAAAATCTCAAGAAAAGTAAAAACAAAACATAAGAAATCCAACCAAACAATCAAAAAAAATTTTTTCTAGAACTAGAGATCAAGTTCAGCAATGTCGTAAGATGCAAGATAAATACACAAAATTCAGTTGTGTGTTTACGTGTGAGCAATGGGTTCTTAAATTTAAAAAGCACCAGTTGCAATCATTTAGAAATAAGACAGGTATAAGTTACAAATCACGTGTAGGATCTGTGTGCTAAAAATGATACAATAATGATAAAATAAATTTTAAAAGATATAAATAGAAGAGTTTTGGGAAGATGGAAGAGTGGTGAACAGCAGAGAAAGAGCCTCTCCAAGATTTGGTGTGCAGACCCTGGAAAAGAGCAGCATGAGGAGAAAGAGGAGGGAAGTGGGTCTCCAGGACCCAGGAAGGCTCTGTCACAAGAGTTGAAGTCCACACTGATAAAGACTCCTTAAAGAGTCTTTAAGGAAGGAGGAGTAGGTGGCAGGTGACACTTTCTCTCTGAGCCCAGCTCACTGCGTAGGAGGGACAGCTTGAATCTGTACACCCATGGTGACCGCAGAGGCCTCCACAGAGAAAGGCATCAGTGGAACGAAGCCATGGACACTGTGGACTGCAGTGGCCGGTAAGCTATTCTGGTTCAGATGTCCCCCAGGAGAGGGGGATTGGCCAGGAACCATCTTGGAGACGGCCAACTGAGCCTGGAACTCGGCAACTGCTGGCTCCAACTAGTGGCTCCCAGGGTCAGGGTAAGGGAGCCAAGTTCAAGTGACCAAGAAGTCAGGGAGCTGAGTGCAAGCTCACGACCTCAAGCCTCACGGCCAAAAACCAGACTAAAGCTCAGTGGAACCAAAGGTGCAGGTTCCCTGGGATTATCCAAGCCTCCTCGGTAAAGCCGCAGGGGACTTGCTGGGTTGCTGGTCAACTCAGATCAAGACTCTGTCTGACCACAGTGTCTACCAGGGACAGCAGAGGCACACCTTAAAGTGGTCATTTTAGGGTGATTTTTCTTATTTTCTCTTTCTTTCTTTCTCCCTCTTATTTTTTCTTTTTTTCTTGATTGTTCTTGTTTTTATGAGTGTGAATATGGTTTCTAGTTTTTGTTGTTGTTCTGTTCTTGTTTCTATTTCTTTCTCTCCTTTCTTCCTGTCTTCTTCACCAGTTTCCCAAAGTTTGCAAACTCTTCCTTTGTCCTACACCCTTGCTTCTCATCTTTTCCTCTTCTTCTGTTTCTCTATTTTTCACCCAACCCCTTTAACAATTTATTCCTTGAGGGAAAAATCCCTACATTGAGGGTTTGTTTACTGTATACAATTTTCTGGTTCATTTTAGATTTTTTTGTATAACCTTCCAGTTCATATGTTAAGGTGGTAAAGTGATGGCTCCCTCAGCCTGTCATTTTCTGGGCTGTGTGTGAGGCTGTTGTTTTGCTGTTTGAACCGCTTTAACCAAGGCCACATAATTGTTCCAACCAGTTGTCTTTCCTGGTATACTGAAACTAAGATTACCCAAGGGTCATAGAAATACTATATAGGCCAGTTCCTAAGAACCAGAGGCTGGACCAAGTGGACAGCAACTTCTCAACTCCAATAAATTGATATTGCAACAGACTCAAAACTCAAAAGCCAGCTACACGTGGAAGGCACTTCTGAAAAGTAATAATTTCCTAAGGGTTCTAAATATTAGCAATAAAGCTACTCACCATAGGCAATTTACAAGCATTAACCCAGAAGTTAAACTAAGCGAAAGAGAAAATGGGAAGACACTGAAATGATGCAACGCCAGCCTTCCCGCTCACCTAGGGCAATCCTGGGGTAGTGCAGCGGGACAATCTGAAAGCCACACACCTGGACACCGAAGTGTAACAGCGAAATAACAAAGGGGAACAAGAACTAAGAAATGGGAGCAAATGTTTGTGAACCAAATATCTGACAGAGGACTAGCGCTTACACTGAATAAAAATCATCAAACTCAACAGGTAAAAGAATTCAA